CGAAGGAGAAGCAGCAGCAACAGCTGCAGCAGATGGAGGTACGCTCCGGGGGAGAGCGAAGACCTGCATGCTGCCGTCTCCACGGGGGGACAGCAGCGCCCAGCGGCTGCTGAAATCTCATTCTGTGGCTGCGCCCTCTGCTGCAGCGCTGCAGCACCTCCAGCAGCTGCAGCAGCTCCAGCAGCTGCAGCAGCAACAGGTGGAGCAGATGCAGCTGCAGCAACAGCTGCAGCAGCAGCAGCAGGAGGAGAACCATCAACAGCAGCAGCATATGCTGGAGCAGTGGCAACATGACCAGCAGCTGCTGCTGCAGCTGCAGCTGCAAAAGCAGCAGATTCAGCAGCAGCAGCAGCGGCTGCAGCTGCTGCAACAGCAACAGGAGGAGCAGCAGATGCAGCTCCTGCAACTACAGCAGCAGCAGCAGCAGCAAAAACAGCAAAGTCTGTATATGAACCCAACTAGCTGGCATACAGGAGACGGCATCGAACCAGCAGCCCCCTGTTGGGGGCCCGTCTCCCCCTCGCTGACCTTTAACCAGAGCAGCAGCCGAAGGGCCCCCAACAGAGAAGCAGCAGAAGGCGGCAGAAGCCGCAGCAGCAGCCACAACAGCAGCCACAGCAGCACCAGTTTGCTGCTGAGGCGCTGCAGCAACCCAATGCAATGGGGAGCGGCCGATGGGCTTGAGGAACCCACCGAAAGGCCTTGGCACGAGCAACTGCAGCAGCAGCCGCAACAGCAGCAACAGCACAGCGATGAGCAACAGCAGCAGCAGCAGCAGCAACAGCAACAGCAACAGGAGCAGCAGCAGCAGCAGCGGGAGCAGGAACTTCAAGAAATTGACTATCCGCTGCTGCACAGGACCCCTGCAGAGCCTCCCAGTAGCCACCAGCACAGCAACAGCAGCAAACACAACAACAGCAGCAGCAACAACAACAACAAAAACAGCAACGAGGACAGCAACGAGGACGGGGGCAGCTCGCTAAGGAGCCTCAGCATCATCAGCTTCCCCATGCGAAGCTTCTCAGGCCTTCCGGGTGTACCTCCACCTGACCCGCTGCCTTGCATGCCTGACGACACAGCAGCAGCAGCAGCAGCAGCAGCAATAGCAACAGCTGAGCCAGATGTAGCTGTAGATGCAGCTAGATCGATGCAGACACCAGCAGCAGAAGACACCGCTTCTGCAGCAGCAACAGCCGCTGCAGCAGCAGCAGCCGCTGCAGCCGCTGCAGCAAATGCTGCAGCCGATTCAGCAGCGGCAGCAGCGGCCGAACGATTAGCAGCAGCAGCCCGAGAGGCAGAGACAGCACCAAGAACAGACCTAGCAACAGCAGCACCAGCAGCACAAGCAGTAGCAACGCCTGCTGCAGCGGAACCCCTAACATCAGCAGAAGGCCCAGCAGCAGCAGCAGCAAGAACAGCAGCAGCAGCAGCTATGGAGCCCCACGAGCTTAGGCATTACAGTTTTCCCTCCTCCAGGATCCTGCGCGCGGTTGCTGCAGCTCATCGAGAGCAGCAGCAGCAGCAGCAACAACCGCAGCAGCAGCAACAACAGCAGCAGCAACAACTGCAGCAGCCGCAACAGCAGCCTCAGCAGCAGCAGCAGCAGCAGCAGCAGGAGATAGAAGCTGCACTCGAACCCACTCTATCCAGTGAGGTGAGAGGCATTTTAAGAGAGCATGGGAGAGCCTCGTGGCCTTTCAGGCTGTTCTCTCTGCCCCGCACGCTGCTGCAGCCGCTGCTGCTGCACTCAATCCGCAACAAGAGCAGCAGCAGCCGCAGCACCAGCCTGGAACGCAGCATCAGCAATAAGGCAGAGGGAGTAACTGCTGCAGACAGCAAACGCGAAACAGACGGAGGAGGGGCTCTTGCAGCACTACAGCAGCACCAGCAGCAGCCACAACAGCAGCAGCAGCAACGGCCGCAACAGCAACAGCAGCAGCAGCTGCAACAGCAACTGCAGCAACCGCAACAGCAGCAGCAGCAACTGCAGCTGCAGCAGCACGAAGACCGTAGACTGCTTCCTCCAGTTCTGGCTACGACGTCTGTAGCATCACCGAGGCGTTCACCTCGGGATGCATCAGCAGCAGCAGCAGCAGCAACAGCAGCAGCAATAGCTGCAACTGCTACCGGTGCAGCAACAACTGCCGCCTCAGCAGCAGCGGCAGCAACGGGTGCTGCTAGAGCTGCGACAGTAGCAGCAGCCGCAGCAGCAGCAGCAGCAGCAACTGCAACACCGATTGCTGCTGACGAAGAGCCATTCGACCGTCAACTAAGCGAAGGAGAAGTAAAGCAAAACCCTTTCTATGACGCCTTCTCTCTCTCCCTCTCGGGTGTACCGACAGCAGCACCACTGTTTTCCTTCGTAAGGCCCACTAACCGTCAAACCCTGCCGCTGCAGCAGCAGCAGCACCTGCAGCAGCAACAGCAGGTGCAGCAGCTGCAGCAGGTGCAGCAGTCCCTTCTGCAGCAGCAACCAAGCGAAGGAGAGATAGTAAGTACTTCTTTCGATAGGACGCGCTCCGTCTTGTTGCCCATGTCCCTGCAGCAGCAGCTGCAGCAGCAGCAGCAGCTGCAGCAGCAACAGCTGCAGCAACAGCAGCAACAGCAGTTGCAGCAGCTTCAGCAGCAACAGCAACAGCAGCTGCAGCAGCTGCAGCTGCAACAACTGCAGCAACTGCAGCAGCAGCAACAGCAACAGCAGCAACAGCAGCAGCAGCTGGACTTCTTTGCGGGGGCAACATCACCCTTGCCGTTTGGGTCAATGACTTTTCGAGCTGCTGCTGCTGCCCCCCAATTCTCTGTTGCAGCAATCACCGACAGCAGCAGCAGCAGCAGCAGCGGGCACTCTAGCGCTCCCTTCATGATGAGCAACTTCAGCCCCCAGATAGACCGCCCCAAGCAGCACCAGCACCAGCAGCAGCAGCAAAGTCTCAGCCTCATGTTTGTAGAGGAGGGGCACCTGGCGACAGAGAAGCCATCAACCCCCTCCGATGCAGCAAGCAGCGAAGTATCGAGTGCCATGCAGAGGGCTAGCTGCGTCCAGCAGCAGCAGCAACAGCAGCAACAGCAGCAGCAGCAGCAGCAGCAAGAACAGGAGGGAAAAGAAGACTCCCTGAGGCTGGGACGTGCCCAGTCGCCGCCGCCGCCACAGTTGCAGCCGCAGCGGCCGCAGCAGCCGCAGCAGCAGCAGCAGCAGCAGCAGCAGCAAGAAACGACTCAACTGGACGACAACGCACAGCAGCCGCAAGAGCAGCAGCAACATCAGCAACAAGAGCAGAAGCAAGAGCAGCAACAGCAGCAGCAGCACCAGAGTGCACACAACCAACTAGCCGAGGCGTTCGTTGATGGGCCACAGCAACACCTGCAGCAGCAGCTACAGCCTCTGCAGCAGCAGCAAACCGTGAAGATGCAACAGCCCTTCGTCGACGAGCAGCAGCAGCTGGAGCTGCCGCTGGAAGACGATATCATGCAGGAGCAGCAGCAACAACAACAGCAGCAGCAACAACAGCATTATTTGCTGCAGCCAGCCTTGCCGCCTGAGCCGTTGCTGCAGCCGCCGCTGTTTCCTCACCAGCAGCACGCTGTGCAGCAGCAGCAGGCAGAACAACAGGAACTGCAGCAGCAGCCAGACTTGCTGCAGCAGCACCGGCGGGTAGATGAACTCTCTACGAAAATTGTGACTGAGTTGCGCGAACTCACCTGCAGCAGCAGCAGCAGCAGCAGCAGTAGCAGCAGCAGCAGCAGCAGCAGTAGCAGCAGCAGCAGCAGGTGGGATGCAGCAGCGCAGCCGGAGACGCAGGTGTGTGCAGCAGGGACACATCATCGGGGGCCCCCAGAGTTTTGCTGCTACTGCACCTGCCCTCAATGCTTGCAGTGTCAGTGCTGCTGCTGCTTGCAGGGGGGCCCCCCGCATATAACAACCCACATGGGGGGCCCCCAGCAGCAGCAGTTGGAAGCGGGGGCCCCCATAGATGAAGAATGTAGCAGGAAGGAACCACACTTCTGCTGGGCGCACCATAGACGCATCGAGGCTGCAGGTCTTTCTCTATTCTGTTTCTTTTATTGCTTACTCTCTATTCCGTTTCTTTATCCTGTTTCTCTATCATTTTTCTCTTTTCTGTTTCTTTATTATGTTTCTTTATTCTGTTTCTCTACTTTGTTCCTTTATCGTGTTTCTTTATTCTGTTTCTTTATACTCTTTCTTTGCCCTTTGTTCTGTTTGTTTACACTACCTTTTCTTATTTATTCTGTATTCTGCTTCTTTATAATGCCACTTTCTTCTGTTTGTTCATTCTTTATTCTTTTTTGTGCTTCTCTGTCGTTTGTTCTCTACTCTGTTTCCTAGTAGATATACACTTGCGCGGATGCGGTCGTCTGCAGCAACTCAGCTCAGCTTGTTTGCTGCAGCAGCAGCACACTGTTTGCTTGCTGCACCTGCAGCAGTTTGCTGCGCCGTTCCCGCTGTATTTGCATGCAGGCCAAGATGGCGACACTGGAGACTGTCATGGCGGCCCCCTCTCCTCCCCTGGGGGCCCCCTAGCAGCCCGTACCCAGGAGATCCCTCAGGTGCTGCAGGGGGATCTTGCTGCTTTTACCGGCCTCCAAAAGGAACCGACACAAACAGAACAAGGGTCTGGGGGCCCCGAAGAATCCTTTAGGGGCCCCCTAGAGGCCTCGGGAAGCCCCCAACGAGCCTCTAGTGGCCCCCAAGGAGAGTCTGGGGGCCCCCAGACCGCCTTTAGGGGCCCCCAGGAGGCCTTTGGGGGCCCCCAAGAAACTCGGCCGGAGGCCCCCAGTCGCTGCGAAGATTTGGAATTGCTGACGTGAGGCCCTGCACCTCTATCGTGCTAATTAAGTTGCTGTTCGTAGGTCATATATATATATATATATATATATATATACATATATACATATATATATATGTATATATATATATATATATATATATATATATATATATATATATATATATATATATAATGTAGATTTGGGGCGTAGTTTCGCTGATGCGTTAGTAGAGTTAATACACCCGCATATACACCCGAGTACTGAAGCACACACATACGCATTCGCTACGATGATTCCACAGAATATCCTATGGTGAACCTTTTCTTGCTGCTGCTGCTGCTGCCGCTGCTGCTGCTGCTGCTGCTGCAGGAAGCAGGATTTGCTGCAGGCTTTGGGGGCGCTAATGACGAACGACTATTTGACATCGGAAGAATTTCTATCGCTGCAGCGCCAAGTTGAAGACCGCTTGCCGTCAGATCTGCTGCTGCTGCTGCTGCTGCTGCTGCTGCTGCTGCTGCTGCTGCTGCTGCTGTTGGTGCTACTACTGCTACTCTTGCTGTTGTTGATGTTGCTGCTGTTGCATGCGCTGTCGCTGTTGTTGCTGCTGCTGAATATGTGATATACCGGCTCATCGAAAGCTAAGCTGCTCTTGACAGAGCAGAGATGGAGATGCTGGTACGGGTGTTCTTATTGCTGCTGCTGCTATTGTTGCTGTTGCTGCTGCTGCTGCTGCAGAGGTGTGCCGCGGGCGATGGTGCAGTTCTGCACAGATGGCGACAAGGAGTTGCTGGTGCACACGCTCAAGTGCCTCGCATCCTAAACCCTAAACCCTAACCCTTTAACCCCGGCCTTAAACCCTAAACCCTAAGCCACAGCTCTTTGTAGCAGCTTGTGAGGCGCGAATAGGGTCAGAGGACCCCCGAGGAGTGTCCAGGGGGCCCCTTAGGACCCTCTTATGGGGCCCCCCAAGTGTTCCTAGGGGGCCTGTCAGTACCGTCTCGTTGGCCCCACTCTAGCCAGTCGAGGCCATTCTGTATACTCTGGAGGGGCCCAGCAGGCGTGTGGGGCCCCTCTTAGCGAGTAGAGAGGCCTCCCTGTACCTTCTTGGGGGCCCCCCTCACATTCTTAGGCGCAGGACAACGAGCAGAGGGGCACCCCCTGATAAATTTTAGGGGCCCCTGAAGGCATCAATAAAACCTTTAGGATGTCCTTTGGGGGCCTTTTGGGCTCCGTCGCTCAGCCCATCTAACCCTAAACCATAAACCCTAATTCCTGAAGGGGATGGTAGGTAGCAGGCACGGAGCTGTGCTGCAACACCAACTGCTGTAGCACCATCTGCTGCAGCAAAAGCTGTTGCAGCAGAAGTTGCTGCAGCACAAGCTGGCGCAATACACTGCGCGGGGAGTACAGCTGCCTGGCTGCTGCTGCCGGCGGCCTACATTAAGACCCACGCGCTGCAACTGCAGAAAGTGTAAGCAGTCGCGGCACCGACTCCACCATCAGCAGCTAACCTGCACTCCGGTGTATGTACACATGCACGCACAGGTGTATACAGAGGCGTATACTGAAGTTTACGCACAGGTGTATCCAAGCCCGCATGCAGGGATGTATGTAGAGGCGCCAGCTTCGGGCTCAAGCTACTACAGATAACGCATATTAACTCTCCCTCCTGTTGCTGCTACTGCTGCTACTGTTGCTGCTGCTGCTGCTGGAGGTCGTGTTGCTAAATTTCCTATCGCCTAAACCCTAAACCTTAAAGGATAAACCCTAAACCCTAAACCCTAAACGCTAGGCCGAAACCGTAGGCCTCCATTGATGCATGCGGTTGCGGAGGGGGAAATTCTTTTGTATTTTTATAGTAACAGTTTTCTCCTACATAAACAGGCTGCTGCTACAGCTGCTGCTGTTGTTTCTGTTGCTGCTGCTGTTACTGCTGCTGCAGCAGTTGCAGTGTTGAGGGGGGCGGCGGTCTGAGGGGCCACGGGCCGAGGGGGGCGAACCTGCAGTGTGCAGGTGTTTATCTTCTTTTGGGTTTGTTTAAGTATAAAATTCCGATTTTTGTAGAGTTAAATCCCCTTGATAGCAATAGCAACATTTGCAGCAGCAGCAGCAGCTGCTGCAGCAGGAGCAACAGCAGCCGCCGCCGCAGCAGCAGCAGCAAGAGCAGCAGCGGCCTGTCTGTTGCCATTCCCTTGTCTGCCGACGTCTCGGGCGTCTCCCCAATACTGTTTATTTTTGTTTTTCTTTTTTCTTATTCTATTTAAATATAAACTCTACCCAGCGGCCCCCTCGCCGCCCCGGGGGGCCGCAGGTCTGAGCATTTCCTTAGGGTCCTGCGTTTCGTCTTGTCTGCTGCACAGCAACAGCAGCAGCAGCAGCAGCTTATACAGCTGGGCGGCCGAGGGTCATGAGTACTGAGTGGCCACCTCAGGGTTCCCTGGGGTTACACCCCGCCGAGGGGCCCTCCATGAGCCCCCAGGCAACTGCTACGCAGTGCGGGGGGGGGCCCCAGAAGGCCCCTCCGGCCCCTTCTCCTGATTCGCTTTGGCGTCCGCGGCAGGAGGGTCCTTTCGAGGGGGGCTTCTCATGGGGGGCCCCCGTGGGGGTCCCACCGTTTAAGGGGGCCCCCGAAGGGGCCCCCTGGGGCTACGGGGCCCCCAAGGGCCCCCGCAGCCTCAGCAGCTTTAGCCCGAGCGAAGAGGATGCGGTGTGCGAGTCTACGGCACCCTCAGAGGGTTTCTGGCCGAGCCCAGCATCTCCGGTTCTGTCGGGGGCCCCCATGTGGGGCCCCCAGCCAGCAGCAGCAACAACAGCAGCAACAGCTGGTGCTGCAGCCGGTGCTGCTCCTGCTGCGGGAAGTACTGTAGTGGAGGTGCATCATCTGTCGCCAAGTCCTTCGTTTGAATCCCATGAGAAGGAATCAGAAGCTGGAGAGAGCCTGTTGCTGCCGGCACCTGCTGCTGCTGCTGCTCATGAGCCAAGCAGCCGCAGCAGCAGCAGCAGCAGCAGCAGCAGCATGAACAGTGGCGTGTCTCCTTTGGTGCATTTTCTGAGGTCGTCGAAGGCCCTTAAGCTGTCGTTGACCCGCACGATGGAGATGCAGCAGCAGACGCTGCAGCTGCTGCTGCTGCACCCGCATATTGCGCCCCCGGATGTAGAGGCCCCTTGCTGCTGGTGTTCAGCAGCAGCAGCAAACCCGCAGCAGCACGAGCAACAGCAGCAGAGCGGGTGCGTGGTGTTGCTGCAGATTGAGATGCTGCAGCAGCTGCTGCACCAGGCAAGCTCACAGCTGCAGCAGCGGCAGGAGGAGTTGCTAGCAGCAGAAAATGAGCTGCAGCAACAGCAACAGCAGGAAGAGCAGCAGCAGGACAGATTGTCTATGTTGCTGCCACATTGGCAGCAGCAGCAGCAGCAGCAGCAACTCGCAGCAGCAGCAGCAGAACTCCGCATCCGCCGCAGTGTTCTCAAGCATCAGTGCACAGACTTCCAGGAGGCGCTGCTGCTGCAGCAGCAACTGCAGCAGGAAGCAAATGCCCGCTGGCTCCTAGAAGCAGCAGACCAAATACGAAGCTGTAAATCTCCCTCGTGCTGTTGCTGCTGCTGCTGCAGTTGCTGCTACTGCTGGTGGTGTTTCCATCGCTGTTGTTGCTGCTGTAGCTCCTGTTGCTGCTGCTGGTGCTGCTGCATCCGCTGCTGCATCTGCTGCTGCAGCCTCTCAGCATTTGTGTGTGTTGTTTGCTGCAGCATTTCCAGGTGCAGCAGCAGAGCAGCTCAGCGGCATATTGGGCCCATTCTCCCCATCCCCCTGGACGGGCCAGATTGCCACTGTAAGTCACTGCAGCAGCAGCAGGAGCAGCAGCAGGAGCAGCAGCAGCAGCAGGAATTAATACTTCTGCGCTGTAGTAGCAGCAAAGAATACTGCTGCAGCAACAGTAACAAAGAGTGCAGCAGCAGCAGCAACAAATGCTGCTGCAGCTGCAGGTACACAACTCGAGCAGAGAGAGGGACGGCGTGCATGAACAGATGCAGCAACTGCAGCACGGCGCGATTGATTGCTGTTGCTGCTGCTGCAGCAGCAGCAACAACAGCAGCAGCAGCAAGAGTTTTTTTGCTTCTGCTGCTTGCGGTGTGTATGCGCAGGGCCTCGTGGGCAATCAGCTGGCTGAAAAAAGAAGCAAACTGCTGAAGCTGGAAGAGAGTGAGCAGCTGCAGCAGCACCTGCTGTTGCTGCGTTGCTGCCGCAGCAGCTGCAGCAGCAGCAGCTAGTCCCCTCGCAGGTGGTGGTTGTGCTGCTTCATGTTGCGGGGCTGCTTGCTGCTGCTGCTGTTGCCGTTGGTGTTGCTGTTGTTGCTATTGGCGTGTGTTGATGCTGTTGCTGCTTCTGTTGCATTCAGAGCTAAGGGAGCTGCAGCAGCTGGCAACGTTGATGCAGCAGCAGCAGCAGAAGCGACAGCAACAGCAGCAGCAGCTTGCTGCTGTCACCACGCAGACGGAGAAACTGACGGCTGCAGCCTGCACGGATTTGCTGCTCGCCCACAAGTACCGCAAGCAGTCAATTAAAGTAATCTGCTGCTGCTGCTGCTGTCCCTGTTGCTGCTGCAGTGGCTGCTGTTGCTGCGCTTGTTGCTCCCGCTGCTTCTGCTCCTGCTGCTAATGCTGCTTCCGTTTGTACATCCTCTCTGCTGCTGCTGTGTCTGCTTAGTTTAGCATTGTTATGCAGCCAGATGCAGCAGCAGAAGCTGCAGCAGCAACAACACTAGCAGCAGTAGCTGCAGCAGCAACAGCTGCACCAACAGGGATCTGCTGCTTATATATATGCTGCGGTTCGTGTGTGTGTGTGTGCTCTGCTGCAGCAATCTTTGTTGCTTGCTGTTGCAATCGTGCTGGCGTTTCTCCTCTTTGTCTTGCCTCATACTTCCTTAGGCTCGCTGCTGTCGCTGGCAAATTAAAGCAACAACAGAAGCAGAAGCAACAGCAGCAGCAGCAGCAGCAGCAGCACAAACTGCGAGTGCAGCAGCAGGTGCAGCAGTGTAGTGGCAGCAACAACAAGGAGAACTGTATCAGCAGCAGCAGCAAGTGGAGCTGCAGCATAGGCAAACCCAAGGGCGGCAGCAGCAGCAGTAGCAGCAGCAAGTGTAGCTGCAGCAGCGGAAAGTGCAGCATCAGCAGCAACGACAGCAGCAGCAAGTGCAGCAGCAGCAGCAGCAGCAGCAATGATGTTCTGCTTTTGGTTGCTATCCCCTTGGGGGTTGCGGCGGCGTTTACCTTCGATTCGTTGGGCCGCCGTTTGGTGTACAGAGTTTAAACATACAGCAACTACACACACACAACACCCAAAAAACTGTATATATATATATATATATATATATATATATATATATATATATATATATATATATATATATATATA